AGCAGGATGTGAAAGAGGCAGGACTCGTTTTCGCACAGCGTGTCCTGACGGCCTCCTCAAGGGGAGACATACCTCAGGGCTCAAACACCGACCCACGAGGAGCACCCAGGAAACCAACAATGTCAAAACCAGCCATAGGCACAAACACAGGTACACTGAGGGTACGAACAAGCCTTCTCGAGTTGTGATGATTGTGTTAAGACCAGATAACTTACAAATTACAGACTTCTTGCTTAAATATCTCTTTAAACAGTTACAAGGATCACAGAATCAATTCTTTAATGTCTGAAAACACAAACAACGCTCCCCCAGCAAGGCTCATGGGAGAACTAGACAAAATTGTTTTGTTTTCCGAATTCAGAAGACCCTAAAGGCAGCTCGAGGCCATCCTTCACACCGGCTCTAAATCAGAACCAGCAACAAAGACGTACAAACGGTGTTGATGTGGCACAACTTCGCTGCAGGTGCATGGCCGGAGGCTGCATTTCTGGAAGGCCTAGGACAGGGGTGCACTTTCTGAGACTGGAGCACTTCCTGCTTAAACCAAGTGGCTCCTCAGCATGAAAGGGGCAATGAAACCACTACCTCCCAAACTCCTCCTGGCCATGCCTGCCCCAGCCACTTCTCCTTTCCATCTGGCACCTGCCAACACATGATGTTCCAGAAACCCAAGAAAAAAGCATTTGCCTGCACTCACAGATGGGCATCTACTGATGCCAGGACACTTCACAGCCGGCCGACTCACCTCAGCCACCGGCCCCCCAGCGGCAGAGTGTGTGGCGCGCAGCCAGGCCCCGCCCACAGAGAGGACACCGCCTCAGGACTCTGGTCCATCACCACCATGGGCGCGACTGTCCACCCCTGTGAACTGTGAGAGGGGACATGTTGGGGGTTGCCTGGGACAGTGCAGAAAAAGGACAAACAAGCACCTCTGGGGCCCTGGTGAGTCCAAAGTCCCCTGGGGCTGAGGCAGGTGCAGGGAGGAAGCTCCCAGATGCTGTGCTGCATCAACTGTGGTGAGGGTGACCGGCGCGGCCCCTCGTGTCGCTCTGCATCCTGCATTGGCCGGCCTGGCTAAGCCCCTGCAGCCTGTGCACTTGCACAGACATCCGGCAGCTGGAGCAGGGCTGACATCATCTTCTATAGCAGGACACTCAGCTAGGATGTGCAAGCGGTGAGCACTGACATCACATTCTCTGCTCAGTGACAGACCCTGACCCAAAAAGCAGCACACGCAACTCTTCTGTTCAAGGGCCAATTCCCCAGTGTGATTGCAGCAGAGCGTGCAGCACAAGCACACAAGTGGCCATCCACAAGATGTGCAGGGAGGGACAGCACACCTCACAGCATGGCAAGGCCAGTCAGCCACCGAGACCGGAGCCACCACAGTGCACACTGTGTATGGCACACATGGTCAAGGGCCGCCGAGAGGCTTCTCCCACTTCAACAGTGTTGACCAGAAAGAAGACTGAAGATCAGACAGGGGGTTTGGCTCAGAGGCTAGTTTGTATTTTTTTTTTTTTTTTT